ATCAAAAGCAAAAATATTTTTAAAAAAGAGACAAAAGCTTTCTTTTCTAATAAAAAATAAGGCAAGAGCTTCCACTTTTGACTAAAAGCCAAATTACAGCTACTCAGTAATGAATAACCTATGTAAATTTTAAAAAGAACTACAGAAAGCATCAAATTACACTTGTTTATCCTCCTTAGCCACTCTGCATATTGAAAAATAAAAGAATAACTTTACCAGATAATAAGTAAAGCAAAGGAAACTAACCTTAGAATTTCAAATGTAGATTCTCCAAATAGCCCCAAAACTTTTCTTCAAATTTATCAGTCCACACAACTTCAGTTCCCAACTAAATAGTCCCTGAACATTCACATTTCTTTTCTAATTATTATCACAATTCCATCATCCTTACTAAAGTCATAACAAAAATAGTTTCAAAAATACTGATTTATTCCAAGAAGAAAAATTAATTATGTGCTGAAAGAAAGCCTCTGTCAGACATAAAACTAAACAAAAAAGAAAAAGAAAAATGCTTAGAAATTAGAATGTTGGCACTAGAGTCCTTTATGGGGCTAAGCCCCAGCTGAATGACAAGATAGGAAATAGGAAATTCTCTAGAATTGTGTGAAAATATCAGCTGAATAATTACTCAAAGAAGTACGTAACTGTTGCTCTTTGGATCCAGTACATTAATAGACTAAATGATTCCATTTGATGGATTCCTTATCTGAAATGTTGTTAACAAACAAGAGGATTTCATAATCCAATCCTTAAAAGGTATTGTTCCAAGTATTGGATTACTGTGCAGTTCAAATACATTTAAATATGTTTTGCAATGCTTTAAGCACCACCCACACTGTAAGATAGTGAATGGTAAACAGATAGAAAACCATGGCAAGGTTGGAAGTCATTCAGCATAAGGGCAGTCTGATTATTGAATAGAAATAGTAGCTGGGCTCTGCTTAGTGCAATAGTTTGAAATACATGTTTGCATCATTGCAGTTTTCAGATTTCATTCTAATTGTTCTGAAAACTGCTTCAGAAAGAAAATGGCTTGGATTGGACTTGTTTTATTATTATTGATATTTATTCTTACAGTTTTATTCCTTTTCAAAATGGGTAGTTCCCAGAGTAACAGCTCCCAAAACCTTCCACCTGGACCCAGGACCATACCCATTTTGGGAAATCTGCACATAATGGATTTCAAGAGGCCTTATAAGACAATGATAAAGGTAAACCTGATGATTAACAGCTATGAATGTTCTTTGCCAAAATGTACTGATGCTGATATAAAAGTTTAGCAATTTATCAGGTTATCCAGTTAACTGGAATAAGGTTGATATGCTCCCTGTTGGTTCTCAGGGGTCTATGGAAAGCTATAACAATGACATTAACTTGGTGTTTGCATTTGTTTACATATGCTGCAAGGATTATACAAATAAAAATCTTTGTTAATCGGATGTACATTTTTCTAATTGTTTATCTGAAACTTAAACGGGTGGTTAAAATTGCCTATGACTATGTAAAGGAAGGGAAATGTAAAAATTTTACATTAATATATGTATTAATATAATAATCTGTAGGTTAACATATTATAATAAGTTATATTCTTAGTGAAATGCCCATTGTTCAAAACCTTTGGCTCTATTTCCTGCTCCAGCGAATTTTTCCAAACAGCTGAGTGAAAAACATAATTTTGAACCTTACTCACAGGATTTTAATTCCAGTTTAAACATGACAAGGTTCAAAGAATTAAAGGATTGGAAATGTCTCCCCTTCTCCCCCCACCCCCAAGATTTTGCAGCTCGCTTTAACTTTTTGAAGTTGTTTTACAAAAGTGTATGAAATAATTATTTAAAAAAACCGTCAGGTGTTGTTATAAAATATTTTTAAAATAACTGCATGGGTTTTTGCACTAGATTCCTTTAAATTCTGATATATTATATTGTTTAGAAAATAAATTCAAAGCTGTTGCATTTTTATAGAAGCAGATGAGGTTGTTGCTATTATGCACAATAATCTTTCACATTTCAGACTGGTAAAATGAGAGAATATGTGATAAACGGTGTCATTATAGACTGCATTGAAAAAAAATCCTTCATCCATAGTTCATTGCTGAACATGTGAGGTAGTCTAAAGTTCCCATTTTTACAGCAGAAATGGGGACATTTGTAAACAGGATGACTGGGAAGGAATGAGTAGAAAAACATAATGTTTCAAGACAGAAGCAAATATATTGATAATTTTAAGTACGTTCCTGTTTTTGTTGTAAGTAGCTAATTCTTCCAAACCATTTTGATTGGAAGATCCTTATCAGCCCTGTCCTGTCCTTTAGAATTAAAAGGATATACTTGCAACCTTCGGTGGCAATGAAAGATAGGAGTGGGTTCTGCAGCAGCAGAGGAAAATAACATACCACATCAAGTCCAACATAAATGATTAATAATGTAATGAAAATGTAGTACTTGAAGGACAACTCGGGAGCTTGGAAGTCAGACTTTCCCTGCTTTAGCAGGTGATGGTGTCAGCCCCTTCCTGTCACTTTAGGAAAGATTACAAAATACAGAGAAGTTTCCTGATTTAGACACAGGACAGATCTGAGAATAACTGCTGCCATTTTATTTTCTAGGCACTTCTTAAAACTGTTTCATTTTCTTGAGGTGTTAGAGCTTATGCACAGCTGAGCAGTCAATGTGCCATGTTGTGTGCAGTGGATCAAGAATGGTGCTGTGTGGAGGGATAGAAATTAATACATCAGAAATTGTTATTATTGAAAATGTTCTTCCTGCATAGCTAACTTCTTTAAAATTTCCAAAACTTGACCAAATTCTGTCATGAGTAACCAGTGGACAATAGTACTTGTATACTTGTTAAAAAAATAAAAACAGTATAATGACTTATACCACAAAAGAAAGAAAGAAATACTTCAACGTTGGATTTGTGAGACATGATTTGTAACAGTATTTTCCTTATGTGAAACTAATTGTTGATCAGAACTGTCTCTCATTTTTCATCTGCTGAATTCCAGTTGGCAAAAGAATATGGTCCTATTTTCCATCTTCAAATGGGAGGCCAGGAAATGGTGGTGCTGACTGGCTATGAGACGGTCAAAGAGGCATTGGTGAAACACGCAGAGGCATTTTCAGGGAGACCTATTGTCCCCATTTTTGAGGATTATACAAAGGGGTTTGGTAAGTTGTTTATTCTGGATTGCAGTTGACACTCCTTGCAAAACTCTAATCAATATTATGTACAACTCACTCAGAAATACAACAAAAATATGTTGGTAATAAATGGTAATAAACAGTATTTAAAAAGAACATTTTTTTTCAACCAATGCATGCACTTACACCCAAATTTATTGCACCAAACTAAGATGGAAGCAACCAGTAGTGTTTGATCTTTGCATCTCTCTCTCTCTCTTCCCCCCTCTCTTTCTCCCTGTGTGTCTCATGATTTGTTTAGCAACCCTATCACATAAAAACCTTTTCATCAGAACTATTTACAGATGATAAACAAGGATTACATGTAGAATGTTTAATCTGAAGTTTTCATAGAGGTAACATCAGAGAACTTGGAGGGCTTCTGGAAATCACAACAGATTGACTTGACTTAATCCAGGGGTGGGATTCAAAAATCCCAACAACCAGTTTGTTGTGCGGTTGCTGGGTGGGTGTGGCCATGGTGGGCGTGGCCTTCTGGAACTTCTTGGAGGGCTGTTTTTTGCCTTCCCCAGGGCCCAGAGGCATCCCTCGGGCCTCTGGGAGAGCGAAAACTGCCTCCTCTGGGTTCCAGAGACCTCTGGAAGCTGGAAACAGGCCCATTTCCAGACTTCCAGAAGGCCCGTTTTTCACCTTCCCAGAGCCACCATGCAGACGCTGCACTTACTTGCATCCAAAATGCACCATGTGGAGACTCCTGGAATGGGCGGGGCAGGATGGGCAGAGCTAGCTGGTCAGTTCAACTACCAGTTCGGCAAACCAGGTGTAAATTTAACATCCAGTTTGCCTGAACTGGTCTGAACTGGCTGAATCCAACCCCTGACTTAATCCCTCAGTGCTAATAGAGGCATCTAGAGAACAAAAGATATGCCAATTTTTTATTTATTAAATATAATGGTCACCTATCTAACTACAGGATAACTCTGTAAGGAATAATTGTACTAACAGTAAGAATCCAATCCTTGAACATGTTTGTTTACTTGTTTGCAAATTTAGGGTGCAGGAAACCCCAGTATCATGCATGCATTGTTCTTCATTTGCCCCAAATAATGGTACCTGAGAATTTGCACAGCCAAGTCAGTAGTAAATGTTGGAATAAGCTGGTCCACTGTCTAAGGAAGGAAGTGTGGGTATGGGAGGGGGTGGTCTCCCAAAGTTCCATTTGGATTATCTCCTGCTATTTTTCCTTGCAAGAGACCCCAGGGATATTTTTAGAAGCTGAACTGCAATCCTTAGTCATCATAGGCAGCTTAAATTTTAAACTTCACACTTAAGCACACTGATTTTCAACTTGAACTCTTCTTTACCTCTCCAGGTATTGTTATGGCTCATGGTGAGAACTGGAGGCAGATGCGGCAGTTTTCATTATCTGCATTACGGGCTTATGGAATGGGCAAGAGGATTGTTGAAGACAAAATCAGTGAAGAGTGCAGTGTCTTGATAAAAACATATGAGACTTATGAAGGTGAGTTGGTATTCCATCCTACAGACTTACCAGTTATCTTTCAAGACAATCTGTGCATAGAAAATCTAGAGGAACCTTTTCAGGAAAAATGTGCTAATAACTGTTATTTATGAGGAATTGTTATACGAAATTAGCTGTTGAAGTTTACAGGATAACTTGTTTCCAATATGAACACTACTTTTGCATATGAAAAGGTGTTAGGAATTGGACTTACTTGTTCCTTCAGGCTTTCAGTCAGTGATATTCATGTTTTCCAATTAAGTAGAATAAGTTAAAAACCTAAGCACCAAACCAACAACATCCACCACGATTCTTGGCTCTCCAAGTGATCCACTTTCCTATACCCTCTCATTCATTTCCACCCAGGCATTCCCCTCTTTTAACACTCTACCTATCACCACAAGATCACATTGAGATTATTGCACAATTCCCTCTTAAATCCATGGCTCAGAATGCTATTATCTTCATTCCATGGAACATAATATGCAACTTTCACCAATGTATAAATTCATATTTTCATCCCACATGTCAGGCATACCAAATTTTGAAAGAATGAAGAATGAATGTGGCTAATAAAAATATCAACATCTTTCTCTGTATTTAATGAAATTATTATGGTAGCTCCCATCTTAATACTACATTTTTTTCTCATTAACAATTCATTGCTTGCAATGTATTAAATAATCAGGACGCATTAAACTTGCTAAAACCTTCCTGGAGTCAGCAATATTTCCATATGTTATCTGGAAATACATTGGTCATGATGATCATCTGCTTTAGGAATTAGGTAGTGGAAACTGCATTAAGAAAGAGTGACAAAATAGTGGATGCAAAATCTTCTGAGAAATGTATCAAAGTTAACCTAAGTCTAGTGTCTATTAGTTCTGTTGACAATTTCAGCGTCTCTTTATGGTCCAGCACTCTGTTCCAGATTATATGACTCTCTGTTAACTTAATTCTGCAATGATGGGTGAGGAGTTAGGTCTTTAAGACATCTTATTATAACAGTCTCAAATTTTGAAAGGAATACAATCATTTTGAATAACAGCAAAAACAAATTGTAGATAAAAGTGAGTTAGCTTAATCTCTGATGAGAAGAGCTGGGACTCTGCCCTTCATGATAGAGAGGGGATCTATGCTCTGAAGCCTTAGATCTATTTGTTAAAAGCTTTTGTGTTACTCATTTTATTTTTCCTGCTGCTGGCAACATGGCCTATCTTCAGCTGTTCTTCCACTTCCACTTTGAACAGAGGGACTAGAATGCTCCATTTTATCTGTCATCAGAAACGTAACTGCTTCTCACTCCAAAGAAAGCATATCTCTAGTGCTGCATTCATGTGTAGCTATTTCTGTTTTTAAAAGGATAGGTTACAGAATTATTCTTTGTGTTACTGTCAGTAAATATTAGTTCATAAACCTGCATCTCTTGCTATCTTCTATATCTCTGCAGAGTGCAAACTAGTTTCTATGATAAATGCTATGTATAATCAATCTTATCCTCAATCTTAATGTGACGAAGAACAGGTTTCATTCTGGGATTCTTTCACAATTCTGTTTTAATTTATTGCTCATGACCAGGAAAGCCATTTGAGCCAGCAACAATTCTGAAAGCTGCAGCTGCCAATATCATAGTTTCTTTTTTACTTGGCAAGAGGTTTGAATATGAAGATGCTACACTTCTAAGACTACTGGAGTTAATTGAAGAAAATATACACCTTGTAGTAACCCCTGCTGTGTTGGTAATGTAATCTTTCATATGAAGAAATACATCATCCCTACAGTTTATTAAGATTTAATTTGTGAAATTTGGATCTTAATTAATTAGAAAACTTGATTTATCATATCTTTAGCACTCACATATTTCATAGTTGATAATAATGATGGTGATTTTGGAGAATGTGGAACAAACCTATTTGGATAAAAATGCTTTGAGATGTCTACCAGAAAATATATTCCTAGTATTCAGCTCTCTTAATATGTTTCTTCTCTTATTATTCTATACTGTTTCAGGTATATAATATGTTTCCCATGTTGGGATTCCTTTTGGGTGCTCATAAAAAAATCTTGAATAACAAAAAAGAGTACCATGAATTCATACAGGCCACATTCCTTGAAAATATCAAAGAGTTTGATGAAAATATTCAGAGGACTTTTATTGATGCATTTCTTGTTCAGCAGGAAAAGGTAATAAAGCATTTTATTACATATAGTATGTGAGGAATTGTAACTGATGTTTTTTTCTTTCACATGTTTTAAAAATATTCTGGCTGGTACCAGAAAACATGCAGTTGGGGAAAATCCTTGCTTTAGAAATGTCCAAGAAAATAATTTCCTGGAGTGAAAGCAAGGAGTGAATATGTGAGTATAGTTTGGAATGTGTGCAACCCAGTGGTGGTATTCAGCCGGTTCTCCCCTAATTGGGCAAACCAATAGTGAGAATTTGGTGTGGGTCACCGAACCAGTAGTAAGTTCTGGCTAGCCACACTCCCGACCTGGTCGCCCTTCCGCCCGATGCTCACTCACCTACCCGCCTGAGATTCACCTAAGGTATTTCTTCCCCCCCCCCCGACAATCAGCTGTACATAGATAAGCTGTGCCAGGATTCCCCTTGCTGAGGCCCAGGAAGGCAAAAAATGGTTCAGACCCTTCCCCCATTTGTTGCCTTCCTGAGCTTCAGAGGAGCGTTAGGGGAGCAAAAATGCCCCCCAGAGGCTCTTTTGAGGCCAGGAAACTCCCAAAATGGAGCTTGGAGGGGTGCTGTGCGCCCTTCCCATGCTTTGTTTTTTTTCTTCCTGAGCCCAGAGGAGCTTTAAGGGAGCAAAAACACCCCCTAGAGGCTCCTCTAAGGCCCAGAAAGCCCCCAAAACAGGTGGGGGCTGCAAAAGAAAAGGCACGCTCACCAAGCCATGCCCAAAGAACCGGTAGTAAAAAGTTTTGAATCCCACCACACGTGTAACCTCATTCTCAGGTTCTGTGGGGATATAAACTTGAAACAAAAATAGTAAAAATTAATAACCTCCATCAGCAAGAACATTATTAAACAGCCAAGGCTGATTAAAACATTGATCATGTTTAAAACTTCATGAAACAATATTCAACAGGAGCTGTAAGCAGAGGTGGGATTCAAAAATTTTAACAACCAGTTCTGTGGCTTAGGTGGTGGGCGTGGCTTGTGGTCATGTTATTGGCTGGGCATGGCCAACTCAATATCACTCACATCGAGGCACGCATCTCCTCGCCTGGCCTCTCATGACTGTGGGGATGCTACAACAGTCATAAGTGTGAAAAATGGTCATAAGTCACTTTTTTCAGTGATATTGTAACTTTGAATGGTCACAAATACACAAACAAAGTACCAGCAAAGAAGGGGGAAAAAGGTCCAGAGACGTTCCTGAGACAGGAAGTCCAGTCCTGCCAAGAATGTAATCAGGGTTAACGGAGAGGCAGTTTCTGTGAGCAACACCAGAATGTTTCCTTCCTGCCTTTCTTACAGGATTAGGCCAGTAATTTCTTCCAACAACCAGTTCTCCGAACTGCTTAGAATGTTAACAACTGGTTCTAGTGATTAGGTACGAACTGGTAGAATCCCACCCCTGGCCATAAGCACCTCCAGGGTATAAGATTTCCCATTATTTGGCAACTCCACATCTTCCTGAATTCTTGAGAGATGACTCTCAGAAAGTCTTCTTGCAGCATCCTTGCTGGCCAACAGATTCACTGTCCATGTGATGTCTTTATTCCTTGCATATCTATTAAAGCTACTGCAATGCTGGTAGACCTCTAACTGGATTTTTTCCCTGTAAAAAGTAACACTGTTTTTTGTAGAAGTTGAGTGAAGAAGTCACATGGGGGTCTCACTTAACAACCCCTTTTCTCAATGTCCAATTATAGTTATAAGTCAAATATTCCAGTAGGGAAATAGTCAGGTGAGCCCTTGGGAAGCAACCTTTTTATCTTTATTTACTTTATAAACATTGGGATATTAATTATTGTGATATGGGTTGGGATATATAGTGAATGCTCTTCTGATTGGTCCAGAAACTGATCTGTGCAGGAGAAGAGGAAAGCCATTCTTTCTTTTTAAAGAAATTGTAGCCTAGGGAAATCCATGGGAAAGGGAAGGTTTGCTCTAAAACCTGAAGTCTTTCTTCTTCGTGATAGTTAAAATAAAATCCCTCTTCATGAAAGAAATCATTGACCTGGCATGTATTGAGAAGAACTGGCAGAGAGATGTGGAGGAAGTTGATCAAAATTTATCTCCAAGCTCATTCCTGGTTCTTCGATTGACATCATTCACTGGGACATAATGTGCAACAGCCACTTGACCTATGCACTTTACTTCATAGCCACAGCAAAAGGATGTCCTGAGTTCATGTATCCTGACATTACATTTTTGTCATTTCTGTGGTAATTGATCCTAATTTTAATTCTGCTGCATACATTGATAAATGCCAATCTACAAGATTAAGTTGTCTTCATTTAGATCAAATTCCTTTTCCTTTTTCTCTTAAATTCCAAAACAGGAAACATTTTACTTTTTCTTTATTTCAATTCATTCAGTAATTCATGGTCTCTGCCATATCTTTTTCATTATTAAAAGTCACAGTCTTATTTAACCCTGCCCATAAACAGATGTGCCCATAAACCCTAGTATCCATCAGCTTTTTGGTCAATCAAGACCTTGACATAATTCTTTGTGGAAGGATATGAGTGTTAGGCTCCCTGCTAATCACAGAACACCAAAGATGGGGACCACATCAACTCTTTTCCAGTCCTCTTAAAAATCCAAGATTTTTAAAATATATGGTACAATGCTCCTGAGATAACATCTGCCAGCTCCTTCAAAACTCTGGGATGTAATCCATCTGGTGATTTATATTAAGATCAGACAGGTGTACTCTTACATTCCCTTGCTTATTTTAATTTTTATTTCTAGTCTGTCTTTTACAATTATGTTTTGGTTGGGCTATAGGTTCTTTTTGCGTGAAGACTTATTCAAAAAATGAATTGAGCAGCTCTGCTTTCTCTCTACTGCCTTTTACTTCCTTGCCATCTTCATCCTTTAGTGGATCGTCTGTTTCCCTGACTATTTTCTTTTTATTTATATGATGACAAAAAAACTTTTTAAAAACTATCTTTGACTTTTGTTGCAAGTCCTTATTCATTCTGAGCTTTTGCTTTCCTGACTTCATATTTGCAGTTTTGGGCTATGTTGAAATTCTGCCTTATTTATGTGTCCCTCTTTCCATTTTTTGTACTTCACCTTTTTGTCTGTCAGTTTATCAGAAGGATAACCTTGTAACCATGTTAGTTTCTTTTTGGCTTTCTTTTTATTTTTCAGTGGTATTGTGTTGGACTGGACTTTTATGATCATATTTTTTTCAGATTTTCCCACACTCCTTGAGTTGTTTTCCCCTTTAGAACTTTTATCCATTGAATTTTTTTAGGCTCTCTTTGGGTTTGTTAAAATCAGCTCTTTTAAAGATTAAGACACTGGTTAGATTATATTCTATTCCTTGTGTTTGCATTATATTGAGTTCAAATATGTTCTAGCAACTTCAACTCCCTCTATAATTTCTTCTCTGTTAGTAAGAATATAATATATTCTTATATTCCAATATAACGTGTCCTCTAGTTCCCTCCTCTACCTTTTGGGTAGCAAAGTTATCAGCTAAGTTGGTTAGGAATCTGTTTGATCTGTTTGATCTCCCACTTGCTGCAGAGTTTGTCTCCCAGTTGATATCACAGTAGTTAAGTCTCCCATTACTACTATGATTTTTTCCTACATTTATTTATTTATTTATTTGATTTGCCAATTGTTTACAAGATAATAAGTATAAGTGTATACATAGTTGTGAATACATGAAATGGGTACATATGAGAAAAATAAAAGAAGAATAAGAGAAACAATAGGACAGGGGCGGTATGCACGTTGGTGCGCTTATGCACGCCCCCTACAGACCTCTTAGGAAAG